AACACACATTAATTCTTCTTTTTTATTATGCCAATCTCACTTGTTTTGGCTCAATATTGAAAGCAGTAGCTGTTGCGCAAATACTATGAATTGGATGCTTCTCAAGATAGATTATAATAGCGAGTTTTTCACGTACATTCCATTACCATCTTCTTTTTTCAGTAATTTGAGCACATCCAACATTTTTATTTGTGTGTGACATTTTTTGATCGCATAAAATGAAGATAAATTAGAAAAAAATTAAAATTTTCAATGTCACATTTTTTATTTCCATATAAGTAAACGGTTTATGTCTTGTGTACCTCCTCATTAAAGTATCCCCATTACACAGTATTCCCCTGCTATAGTACCCTCCCCCATGAATAGTACCAGGAGAGGTACTATTCAAGAAATTTTGTGGTTTCTTGAATAGTATTCCGGATACTGTAGTCAGTGCTCTACGGTAGCTGATGATATCACAAGGTGAGCGCTATCGTATAGATATTCAAAATATTTATTTTACTGATACTTTGAAGTGAGACTTTTCTATACATGTAGTAAGTTGTACGGGATCTGCTTTGAGCATTACGATACAGTAGCGGTCATAAGTATCCTACCAGTTATATCACTTAAACATACATAATAATAACTCCTTTAAATTTCCAGGCAAAAAGAGTATGACAATGCCTGATCACATGTAAAATTTCAGCTCAAGCGGATGTTGCTAGCAAATTTTCCAAACATTGGATATTTTGCTTCGAAAACATATGAAAATAAAAGGAAACAACTGCGCATTATAACTTTTAGAGTCATCATGTTGCATGCTTATTTGCATTTCGTAGTAACGATCGTGCTAAGCATAATTACGGCTGGTTCAAAGGATAAAAGAGAAAAAAAAAGAATACAAAATTTTGTTAGGAAAGTGTCGAGATATGAATTTTTGGTTGGCATCGTATAGAGGGTGTAGTATAGTCCGATGCAAAATATCCGATATTTGAAAAATTTGCTGGCGACATCCGCTCGAGCTGAAATTTTACGTGTGATCAGGCATTGTCATACAACTTTTACCTGGAAAATTCAAGGAGTTATTATTATGTACGTTTAAGTGATACAACCGGTAGGATACTTATGACCGCTACTGTACAATACATGTACATGTGCTAACGTATATCATTACAAACAGACACCAAATCGGGAACTGTGAGTAATTCAGGCATTACGCGATTTTTATGTTGCTACGGCAACAATATGATAGCAAGTACAGCGAGGCTATTAATTACCACTATTTTGACTTTACCGACCGAGCACTTCGAAAAATTTATCTTTCTCATCAACAAAGACTAAGTTAACAAAACCACGTGTTCTCTACTAATTAAAACAAAAACAATCTGATGTAGTTATTGTGAAACTCGAAGAGCTTGAATAAACGCTTATCAAATATTTAATTCTAGACTTTCATACAAAAATTTTAAATATAAAATACGATAAAACCAATTGTTTATTATCATTGCGCTAATTAAAATCATTCTTAATTTATGTACATATACATGAACGTTTTGAAAAATTCATCCTTCAATTGTAACTCGTTGAAAAAAACTTAAGTTTAATGAACAAATACCCATACAATATAAGCATAAAAAAAATATTTGGGACACACAGTCAATCAGTACTCTAACGATACGTATAAAGGTCTCTTATAGCAATCTCAGCCGTCTTATATGAAAGCAATCCTTTAAAACGAGGTTTATGATCATCCATTTCCGATACGATAAAAATCTGACTTTTTTTACTTGTACTAGAATTAATATCAATATCTAAGACGTTTTTGCAAAAACAAATAAAGCAAATGCAAATAAAATAAGGATAATGAGGATGAAAAACATTTTCTCAAAATTTTTTCTTTCTCTCTCCATCTCTTCATTTTTCCTTCTCGCTCTCTCCAAATTCTCATTTTTCCTTCTCTCTCTCTCCATCTCCTCATTTTTCCTTTCCTCTCTCTCCATTTCCTCAATTGTCTTGCCACGTTTAGGAATGCATCCTTCCAATTTTTCCTTAGGATACAATTTATGTGCGAGATAATAAAATTTCAGATCCTTTTTAAGCTGTGAAGGAAGCAAATGTTTAAGCGGATAGACTTTGATGTAATAATTTTCGCTATTTATTTGAAAGAAACGTATATGCGTGATGCAATCCTCTAATGTCATCCGGACTTTCTTCATGCTGTCGGCACTCCAGCTTTCAATATCGTCGAGACTTAGATTTTCACCACTTTGTGCAATTCCTCATTCAACGAGAAAGTCCCAAACTTCGATTTCTTCCATACCCAAAATCATCTCGTTTTAATAAAGAGATCAGAAGGTCTTTTCCAATTGTCAAACAATATTTGGATTTGAAAATGACATTTGGCATTGTCTTTATAATCTCGTCGCAGATCTTCAAAATTTTTTCGCATCCCGAAACACTTGAAGCGACTTGCTGAACTTTAATAAAATGCTCTTTGATCCAAGTCATCCCCCCTTCAGAAATAATATAATTTTGAATTGTATCAATTAACGACTTAAGAATCAGCTCGTCGGCAGCAACGAGGATATTAAAAATATTCTCGTCTTTCAAAGATAAAATAATATTGCCAGTATAAATATAACTAGTAAAATATTTGACATTAGTTTGTGATTGTACATGTAACTCAAGAAAAGACTCGGCAAAATATTTTTACCCAAGAATTTTTTCAAAAATAATTGGCTGCATATTTGGTTTATCCATCGAGATAATTCCATTTTCTTTACGAACCCACCATTGTGAAAGAGCAACTTTAAAATATTGCGATCTCGCACGCAAAATTAAAGAATGAGCTGTGAAAATTTTAACGTCGTTGCCTTGACCGACTTTTATAGAAACATCTTGGTCTTCAGTGTCTTCTAAAAGTGCGGCTATTTCATTAATTAGAATATGTTGTAAAGAATGAGTCGCCATCTCTTATTTTGTATTTCAGAGTGGTATGGTAATGATTGATTTTCAACTAACGTTATTATATTTATCGTGAGAAGAGTCGAACAATGGCATGTGAATTTTAAATGATGTATCATACGCCAAATGATGATGTATTATTATTATATAATTCATTATGCATGTCTGCAATTTTGGGTGCCGCCCAACCTTCCCCCAACATCCCGACACCCATCTTCCCGAAATTCCAACCTCCCGACAACTTAACATCCCGACAATCAAACATCAACTTTCCGAAATCCAACATCCCGACAATCCAACATCCCGACAACCTAACATCCCGACAAAGCCAACTTCCAGCATACCCAACTTTCCACATCATTTTACAAGATCCGTTATTCTATCATTGATGTTAAATGTTAATAAGTGCTTCGATCCCCAGAAATTGGACCAGTCTGTTGGGAAGTTATATTTGTCGAGAAGTTTGGATTTGTCGGGAAGTTTGATTTGTCGGGAAGTTTGGTTGTCGAGAAGTTAGATTGTAGTAAAATTGTGGATTGTCGGGTTGTTAGATTTCAGGAAGTTGAATTGTCAGGAAGTTGGATTTTCGGGAAGATGGGTGTCGGGATTTGGGGAGTCCCGTAAAATTTTGCGCTGAATATTTTTATTCAGAAAATCAAAGCTAATTATCATAGTAGAATTTAGCAACAGGTGCCACCCAACATCCCGACACCCATCTTCCCGACATCTCGAAATTCGACATCCCGACAAATCTAATTTCCTGATTTCCCCGAAAAATCTAGTTCAATGTCTGGTTTATGTCCGGAACTTGCGTTTGGCGGGAAGTTTGGTATATCGGGATGTTAGGCTCTCGGAAGTTGGATTTTCGGGAAGATGAGTTGAGGTAGACCCACACTTGGTATCATGTCAAAATTATTGATAAGTCTGCAAAAAAAGGTTCATTGATATAAAAATTAAAGCATTAATCGTCATAAAAAACAAAAACTTGCGATTTAGGAAAAAATACGCTACAGAATGGGTGAGACATTTACTTCACTAAATGCATTCGTTTAATCATTTGTGTTTGAAGTTACGCTTCCATAAATGCAATATGAAAGCAGAGGACTGGAAGCGTAGCGATACTATTAGCACTATTTTGTCAATCTGGATGTAATTTCAGACCCATTTATAATAAAATCTCTGGAAATAGTGAATTAATTAATAAAATGAATTTTTTATTAATAGACCGGGCCATTCGTTATATCAAGATTCACTATGTATTTTAACTTTAACAACCGAGTATTCGAAAAACTTATCTTTTCTCATCAACAAGACTAAGTTGACAGAATCCGTGTTTTCCATCACGTTAAACAAAACAATCTGACGTAGCTATTGTGCACCCCGAAGAGCTTGAGCTAACGCTTGATGCTTAATTTAGGGCTTTCATACGAAAATTTCATTTTTACTTTAATTTATTTTTATTATCATTTTTAAACATTCATTTATTGTCATTTATATTTTAGCCATCGATAAAAGCAAAAATATTCTCAGTTTGAATAAAGTATTTTGATATCGGCATACAATCAGTACTCTATACCCGATACATAGATCGGGAATGGATGCCTGTTATCTTAACTTTCGGTGGTAACGGTCGACATCCCGAGTCACGAAATCCCGAACGTTCATAAGCCCCGAAGATCGAAATCCCGAAAGATCGACATCCCGAATTACGAAATCCCGAATGAACGACACCCCGAATGTACGAAATCCTGAAAATATATACTAAAATTATCACGGGATGTCGTTCATGCGGGATTTCGTACTTTCGGATGTCGTGCATTTGAGAATTCGTTCATTCGGGATTTCGATCTTTGGGATTCGGGATGCCGTTCTTTCGGGATTTCGATCTTTCGGGATGTCGTTCGGGATTTCAATCTTTCGGGCTTTCGATCTTTCGGGATTTCGTACCAGACCCCTAAAAGATGCTTTTCATATAAGAGACCTTTATAAAGTCTGACTGTACGACCAAATTTGGCACTTTCATAAATTAAGTAATTTAAATTATAAAAATCTAATTATTTAATTTGACTTGAACTAGAAGGCTGTTTAGTGTCACTTTCTTCATAAAAATATTCACATGTATTAATATCGATATACAGTCATTTAAAGGATCCATTCAAGACAAACCAACAAACAAAGACAATAAAGATAATGATACATGTGTTACCCTTTGCCTCCATTTCCTCAATTGTCTTACCACGTTTAGGGGTGTATCCTTCCAATTTTTCTTTAGGATACAATTTTGGTGCGAGATAATAAGCTATCAGACCATTTTCAAATGAAGAAAGCATATTTCCGAATGGATAGACTTTGAGATAATAATCTTCGCTAGTTATTTGAAAGAAGCGTATATATGGGATGCAATCTTCTAATATCGTTTGGACTTTCTGCATGTTGTCGGCACTCCAGTTGTTTATATTGTCGAGACGTAGGTTTTCACCACTTTGTGTGATTCCCCATTCAACGAGAAAGTCCCAAACTTCGATTTCTTCCATACCCAAATCATCTCGCTTCAATAAAGAGATCAAAAGGTCTTTTCCAATTGTCAAACAAGATTTGGATTTGAAAATGACATTTGGCATTCTCTTTATAATCCTGTCGCAGATCTTCAAAATTTCTTCGCATCCCGAAACACTTGAAGCGACTTGCTGAACTTTAATAAAATGTTCTTTGATCCAAGTCATCCCCCCTTCAGAAATAATATAATTTTGAATTGTATCAATTAACAACTTAAGAATCAGCTCGTCAGCGGCAACTAAGATATCTAAAATATCCTCGTCTTTCAAAGATAAAATAATATCGCCAGTATAAATATAACTAATAAAATAATTGACATTAATTCGTGAATGTACATGTAACTCAAGAAAAGACTCAGAAAAATATTTTTACTTTAGAATTTTTTCAAAAACAATTGGCCGTATATTCGGTTTATTCATTGAGATGATTCCGTTTTCTCGACGAACCCGCGATTGTGAAAAAGCAACTTTAAAATATGGCGACCTCACGCGCAAAATTAAAGAATGAGCTTTGAAAATTTTAACGTCGTTGCCTTGACCCACTTTTATGGAAACATCTTGGTCTTCGATGTCTTCTAAAAGTGTTGCTATCTCACTTATTAGAATATGTCGCAAAGAATGAATCGCCATTTCTTATTTTGTATTTCAGAGTGATATGGTAATAAACAATTTTATAGTGCAATAATTCTAACAATGGGGAAACATATTTTCTTTAAAAGACGTACATGTATTATCATATGATACATTATTATGCATTACACGTGTCGTCAAGCGCTTTGTATAGTATCTTCGGTAAAAATTTACACCTTAATTTAATCTCATCAAAGCAAAATTGTTAAAACTTTTACAGTTCATTCTGTAATTTAAGGTAGCTTATCCCACAATTGTGAATTCGTCAAAGAAAATGGAATTACCTCAATAGATAAACCAAATTATCAAAATATTTTACTAGTTATTTTGATGATTTCAACTTATTTAGATATCCTGATTGCTGCCGACGAGCTAATTTTTAGACTATTAATTCAATTCAAAATTCTATTATTAGAAAAGACTTCTTGATCTCTTTATCGAAACGAGATGATTTGATTAAATGAGAAATATTACAAAGCAATGAAAATCTAATAAGCTACCTTTTTGCAAAAAATTTAGCTTGAAAAGTGGATGGCTTTTTTTCAGTATTAATTTTGAGATTTGACTAATATGAAATTATACAGAAAATCGAAATCTCAATGCAGAATTTTTCAAGTTCATTATTCATACTATTGCTAAGCAATGTATCTATTTTTTGTTTCAAATTAATAATGAATAATCTTGAAGTTGCAAAAATGATTTTCTTTAATGGATTTGATATTGAATATTGATAAATTCATAAAATATTAAAAGATAATATTTATTTTAAGAAAAGAACTTTATTAATTTAATATTTGTAAATTAAATCCTGAAAATAAGCAACTCATGATGTTGCTTTTTTATTAATTTATCTTATCTAAAATTAGGATTAACTCTTGAACTTTTTGGATAACTTGTTCAAATCTTTTTCAAAAATTATTAATAATTTAATTATATAGGTTTGAATCAATACTGTGAAAATATTATTTTATTAACTTTATATATTTATAATAAAAATATTATTTGTAAGTTAACAATTTTCAAAACTTTATGATATAATAATATAAATTAAAGTTCAAGATAATACTTATTATTTAAGTTTTTTATAATTCTTAATTTCTAGTAAATAATGTGTTATATAAAAATTTTATAAAATATAAGTAAATAATTTTAATTTTTACTCAAAAAAGCTATGTTTTGAATAAAATATTTTTACTTCTATAATTTTAAATTTGTTTTTATTTAATTAAATTAATTTATTATTATAAGAATAAATATGATTCAATGCAAAAAGATTGATATATCAGATAATATTAATAAATTATTTTTTCAAAATAAAATTTTAATTCTATCTCATTTAATTAAGTTATTAAATATTAAAATTTATTTAAATATAAAAATTTTTATTATATATCTTTTATAAAAAAATTTT